CCCCTGGAAGTTCAGGAAAGGAGCTGTGCCTGTCGAAGACAAATGCTCTAAAATCTTCAGAATCTTGGACTTCATCAGCACAAGAAGGATGACTCGGGTAGGCACAGAGGGAAATGTTTCCCAGGCAGAGTTATAAATCTAACACGGGCTGCTTTAACGGCATGGTGTTACAGCATTTCCTCAAGTTAAGCTCAGCCCATGTCTCGCCTGGTGACCATGTGGCCAATTCCTCCACGACCTCCGCCTACCCTCCAATGCTGGCCACCCACAATGCGGCTTGGAACCCAGGTCCATCTGCAGGTGGGATCTGATCGGCTCAGACTGGGGCTCTCCCAGGACAGGGGCTCCTGTAAGGGATGGGGTGTCAGCCTCCTATGCTGCTGGAACGAGTCACCACAAACTTAGCCGCTTAAAACAACACATACTTATCTTTTTTAATAGTCCTGGAGGTCAGAAGTCTAAAATCAAAGTGTCACTGGGGGAACAACTGTGAAGAGTGGGGGAGGAGGGAGAGGATCAGAAAAATAACGAATGGATATTGGGCTTAATACCTGGGTGATGAAATAATCTGTGCAACAAACCAGCATGACTCATGGTTACCTAGGGTAACACACCTGCACATATACCCCTGAAGTGTCAGTACAGCTATGTTCCTTCTGAGTCTTCAGGAAAGAGTCTGTTTCCTTTTACTATTTTCTGGAGGTCACCTGCACTCCTCAGCCTGCAGCCTCTTTCTCTCTTCCAAGTCAGTAAATACCTAGATGGCTTCTCTCACCCCGACTTCCTGTCTCCCTCTACAGGGACCCACGTGATGACATCAGGGCCACCTGGATGATCCAGGATGATTCCCCCATCTCAGGAGCCTTACCTTAATCCCATCTGCAAAGTTCCTTTCCCCCTGCAAAGTCACGTGTTTGCAGCCTTTGGCAGTAGGGATGTAAACGTCTTTGGGGAGGGTGGCATTTTTGATTATCACAATGGGTGGAGGGAGGAACACTACTGGCACTGAGAGAGCAGCCAGTTCTGCGAGGTTTTCTGCACAGCACGAGACAGCTCGACAGCAATCAAGAATTGCCCAGATTCTGCATGACTTTGTCCCAGTGGACGTTCACAGAGGCCAGGAACCCAGTGACAGTGACAAGCAGAAAGATGATCTGAAACATCCACTAAAACACTGGGAGAAGGGCAATGGTTTCACATACTGTGGGTGTTCCAGAACTGCAGCTATGGGGTGGAGAGCGGACTTTGATGAAACTTAAAAAGTGGGTGATCAGCCGGGCGCAGTGGTTCACGCCTGTAATCCCAGCACTTTGGGAGGCCGAGGCGGGTGGATCACGAGGTCAAGAGATCGAGACCATCCTGGTCAACATGGTGAAACCCCGTCTCTACTAAAAATACAAAAATTAGCTGGGCATGGTGGCACGTGCCTGTAATTCCAGCTACTCGGGAGGCTGAGGCAGGAGAATTGCCTGAACCCAGGAGGCGGAGGTTGCGGTGAGCCGAGATCGCGCCATTGCACTCCAGCCTGGGTAACAACAGCGAAACTCCGTCTCAAAAAAAAAAAGAAAAGAAATTAGCTGGGCATGGTGCCGTACACTGGTAGTCCCAGCTACTTGGGAGGCTGAGGCAGGAGATTTGCTTGAACCCAGGAAGCAGAGGTTGCAGTGAGCCGAGATGGTACCACTGCACTTCAGCCTGGGTGACAGAGTGAGACTCTGTCTCTATTTAAAAAAAAAAAAAACGTTGTTGATGCATTTTGAAAATTACCTCCACAAGGCCCAGTCTGCAGATGAAATGCAATCTGCAGCAACAGAGCTTCTTCATCTGTGGCTGACACATCCATAGTGACCGAGCACAGGAGCAAGTGTCAGCACTCCATCCGGCCTTCTAGATATGCTTGTTACGATATTACTTTACTCTGAATTATTTTTCCTCCCTATGATACAGCACTATGCTGATTTGTTTTTAATTATGTCTATATGTAGGTTACCCAATTATGGATTTCATTTCATGGCTCATAAAGGTGAGGACTGAGAATGACTGGTGTTCATCTAACCTAGGGGTTGACAAACTTTTTCTTAATTGACCATATAGTAAATACCTTAGGTTTCTGCAGGCTAGGAGACAAAAATCAATATAATATGGGTGCTTATATAATCATTAAAAATGTAAATACCATATTTAGCTTGCAGGCTGTGCCAAAACAGGTGACGGGCTAGATTTGACCCATGTTCTGCAGTTTCTCAATCCCTGGTGTAAATTAAACAGGGCAGTTCCGAGCCGGTTCCCAGTACCTGGTCCAGTTACACACAGACCTAAACCTGTGATTCTCAAACAGAGGCAGTTTTGCTCCCAAGGGGACATTTGACAACGTCTGGAGACTTTTTCCATTGTCAACAATGGGGCTGGGTGGCACTGAGAGGGAGCTGGGCACTGTGGCTCAAGCCTGTAATCCCAGCACTTTGGGAGGCTGAGGCAGGTGGATCCCTTCAGGTCAGAAGTTCAAGACCAGCTTGGCCAACATGGTGAAACCCCGTCTCTACAAAACATGCAAAAATTAGACAGGTATGATGGTGTGTGCCTGTAATTCCAGCTACTCAGGAGGCTGAGCAAAGTGAATCACTTGAACCTGGAAAGTGAAGTGTGCAATGAGCTGAGATTGCGCCACTGCACTCCAGCCTGGGCAACAGAGTGAGACTCTGTCCCCCAACCCAAAAAAAGAACGGGGTTTGGGGGTATCCTGTTAGCATCTAGTGGGCAGACAGAGGCCAGGGATGCAGCTTAACACTCTACACTGCAAGGAACAGCCCCCCCGCCCCAACCTGGACACCACACACATAGAATTATCCAGTCCCAAAGCTCACTGTGCTGCACTGGGAAAGCCCTGCTCCAGGCCAAACTGGGCCAAGGAATTCTGAGGAGAAGTGTTTTAGGATTTCAGGGAAAGAGGGTCCCTCACTCCTAAGAGAAGCACAGAAGCAAATGCCTTCCACCCCAGGGGCCACTGAGGGAGTAAATCTCCCCTTAATACTGTCATCCATCTGGAATCTGTGCATGAAGTGCCCGAGACAAGGCCAGCCACGGGTGGGCACAGGGAGGGAAGGGCCATGCTTTTATGCCAGGGTTGGCCCAGTGAGGGGCCTGGGACAAGCTCGCTGAGATCTCCCCCTGCCGCTGCCCTTCCGACCCTGTGAGCCAGTGGACCTCACAGTGCACGGGGGTTTTCTCTTACTCTCAGCCAAAAGCTTCTCAAAAGGATCCATCTTGTTCTGTCCAAAGTGCGGTAACTCTGCTTCACAGTCACACAGAGAAGGAGTCAGCATACTTTCTTCTGTCAAGGCCCAGGCAGTAGGCATTTCAGGCTTCACGGGCCAAATGGTGTCTGTTGCAACTACTCAGCCCTCCTGCGACCGCAGCCGGAGACAAATGCCAACCAGTGACTCTGTCTGTGTTCCATAAAAACTTGCCTTTTTTTTTGAGACGGAGTTTTGCTCTTATTGCCCAGACTGGGGTGCAATGGCGTGATCTCAGCTCACCACAACCTCCGCCTTCCGGGTTCAAGTGATTCTCCTACCTCAGCCTCCCAAGTGGCTGGGATTACAGGCATGTGCCACCGCGCCCAGCCCTAACACTTTACTTTCAAACAACAGAATTTTAATTCCACGTGTCAGAAACACTACTACTCTATTAAAATATTTTTTCCAACTATCTAAAGATGTAAAAATGTAAAAAAAAAAATCATGAGTTTTCAGGCCACCACATAAAAACCGGTGGTGCGCTGGCTTTGACCCATGGGCCATGGGGTGGGGGCTCCCGACAGAGAGGAAGCCTTTCCAAGTCGTGTTTCGCCTACAGGAGAACTTTCTTAGTGTTTTCTTCCGCGCATTTCACAATCTGAACCATAGACCAGGTTTACCTGTTCGATTCAAAATGCAAACATGGTTTTCACTATGCCTCCCATACAGTTTGGAAATGAAAACCAAAAAAAAAAAAAAAAAAAAAAATCGGGAGGGATTTAGAGCTGCATAATATAAGCATTTACAGCAGAATTGAAATAACTGCCTTTGCTGCTCACATAGCATATGGTTTGAGAATGTTTCACTGTATCTATTCAAAGAGGGAGGCATCCATTTATCACAGATGGTGACATTATTTATGATGGAAACTTACATTAATCCTGAGCGTCCCAATTATCTCAATTCATATAAATAAAAAGGAACAGCATTCCTGTTCTTTATGGTGGTCTTTTTCCTCAAAAATAAAGAGCTTGTTTTTAATATGGTCCACGTATTTTCTTTCCACTAATTACAGATAATTTAAAAAAACCTGTATGTACCATTGAGTCATCGGCATTTTTCCCCCACATGTGAGTTTCATCTGCTTGCCAGTTAGCATCTGTAGCTTTGTTTGGTTTATACCAGCATTCAGAATGATTATATTAATGAGAAGTCTTAGGGGACACACTAGAAAATGCTTTCCTGATGACTGAGTAAACAAAAAGAAAAAAGAATACACCAGAAGATAAAAGCCATTTTCTCTTTCATTTTATAGCCTTTAACTTGTGAAAAGAACATTTAAACTGAGCTTTCCAATAGGGAATAGGGAATTATAAGGGAGAATCCTGAAAAGCCAATGGGGAAAAAATTCCTTAAGTGGAAGGTGACATCTTTTATCCTTGTTGACACCTGGATTATTGAGACATGCAGAGGACACCAGGGAAACCACCCATCAGTGCCCTGTGGGTTGGGGTGCTACATATTATATAGAGACTTCTTTATACTTTCAACAACCTCATACATGAAGTTGTTTTATTATCCCCAATTTTCACAAAAAGAGACGAGACCCAGAGAGATTAAGTAATTCAGCCAAGGTCACACACCTAAGAATTCTGAAATCAGAATTTGAACTCAGGATCCCTGCACTCACTCCTGTGCTATCCTGTCTCAGAGCACAGGCTTTATTTTATGGATGTTCTTATTTTACTAATTTCTTATTTTTCACTTCAGAAGGTCAACGTGCCAACATCATAACAAGGTTGAAGGGAGACATGTCTCACATGAGCGTCAAAACCCAATCATCACCCTTATGAACTACAAAAGGACCCAGGCTTTACTTCAAATCCATTTGTCACTCTGGCTCCCTTTTTCCAGAGAAAGAGAGAGCGTCGGTGCTTGGTAGACACAAGGTTGCTGTACTGCCACTGGCTGATGCTCAGGTCAGTCTAGAGATGCTGAAAGCCATCTTGCAAGTACAGTTAACATTGAGGAAAGAAAGATGGGGAGATGGAGCCCCTGAATTCAGCAGCGCCTGAAGCTGGAGATCCCTGTACTTTTCCCCTTTGCGGCTTGAGCCAGCCTGAGATGCCTTCCTGTCATTCTTAATTGACTGATGCCCAGCATCCTGTCTGATGGATGAAGCCACTGAGCTTACTGTGGTTCTTATTTAATATTGCACCAGCAAGACATCCATCTCGGTCTTAATGTTAATGAGGGTGAAAAAAATCAACAGAGGGATAGGATAAGGAACCACCTTCCCTCAATCCACATTCACTAAGAGGCTTGTCTGTGCCCCATGCTGCCTTGCTTCTGTAGGGAGCATACGAATAATTAAGCTGTGTTTATCAAGCTCATGGGAGGCTGTGCAGAGGGGAGGAGACCTGTTGCAATAGGGAAGGGCTCCGATGGGAAAAAGTCCGCAGGGGCATGTGATACGACAGGTGAGGGCAGCCATGCACCCTAATCGCTGTTTAGAAGCAGAAATGAGGGCCATGTGAGGAGGGAAGCAAGAGGACTCCATACTGCGGGAGTGCAAGGTTAGAACGCAGAAGAGGGAGGAGCACTGGGACCCATGTCTTGAAGGAGGAAATGTCCCGGGGGAAGGGCGAGTGCAAGCCACCTCCATGGGTACCAACTTGCTAACACGCTGATTTTGAATTGCCAACCTGTAGTAAGAGCAAAAGGCAGACCCACTTGTGCTCTGTTTTATGGTGGTTTGTAAGTTTCTCTGTGGAATACAGACCCCTTCTCATGACCTTCCACTTCCGCCCGCGTTGCTGCAGTGCTGTTGCCGGGTGCTGCAGGCCCCTGACGGTTGCAATTGTTCCAGAAAGATGCACCTTCCTTTGCAAACTCACAACCCACAAAAAAAGACACTCAAGGGACATGAAAGGGATCATGTTGGAAGACACACGGCGAAGCCCCATCCAGAACTTTCTCTCTCCCCCAAGGGATGAAAGCCTTCAGGTTAAGCAAAGCTTGCGGCTCCTGGGCACAGGTGGAGACACAGTATGCTGGAGGAAAAGGAAGAAACCACCTCTACCCATCGGGGAGTGGCAGAGAGGTGTCCTGAGCCCAACTACTAGAAGGCTTCCCGACCCAGAAGCCGGTGAAACTGGGGGGAGCAGCAGCCACTGGTCAGAGCTGCCGATGTGTGGTGAGGGCACCTAATTGGAAGCCACTGATGCTTCTAAGTGCCATCTGCTGACCTAAGATGTTCTCTGGTCACCCTAGGGTCACTCCCACTCCTGAGCACAGGCAGATGTGCCTCAGGTGCCCGCTGCGGCTTTGCCCCGATTGGAAGTAATGTAAGTGTCTATCCACCGTAAAGTGCCTGAACACAGCAAACCCGAGGAGAGAATGCTGTGAAGACAGGAAGAGAGGAGAGAATGCTGTGAAGACCGGAAGAGAAGAGAGACCGAGGGCCTGTGGAGAGGGTGGCTCCAGGCCAGCCCCCGGGCTCCGATCACAGCCCGGCCACTTCCTAGCTGTGATGTCGGGTGCTCACTTAGCCGGTCTGTGCCTCTGTGCCCATCTGTAGAAGCAGCTTCATAACAGCACACTCCTCTTGGGACTATTTTGAAGAGTAAACAAGTTACTAGAAGTGCTCAGTCATGCCTGGCACATGGTAGGTCCTCAAACACATTACCTATTAATTATTTTTTAACTTGAGTTCTGGGACACATGTGCAGAACGTGCAGGTTTGTTACATAGGCATACATGTGCCACGGTGGTTTGCTGCACCCATCAACCCACCATCTAGGTTTTAAGCCCCACACGCATTCGGTATTTGTTTAATGCATGCAAATTTTTGTAATTCTCTCTCTCCCGTTGCCCCCCAGCCCCCACAGGCCCCGGTGTGTGACGTTCCCCTCCCTGTGTCCATGTGTTCTCATTGTTCAACTCCCACTTATGACTGCCTATTAATTCTTTGCTACTATTGGGATGCAGCTGGAAGGAGAACTACACGTGCTAGCACAGAAACATCTCCAAGATGCGCTGCTGGGGGAAAACCCAGTTGTAGAGAAATGCCAATTACATAAAAACAATCACCAGCATTTATAATAATTATGTTTTCTCTGTAGTTGTTCCCCCAGAGAACTTCAGAGAAGCACTACTCAGAGCTTATCCAACAGCTCCACGAACTCACGAAGGACGCGGCATCCACGTGTCACCAACCCTACCAAAGGGCTTCATGCCCATGATCACAGCAAAGCTGCTACCCATCCAGTCATTGCCTCTGAGTTTCAGGAGAAGCAAATCAAGGGAAAAATGTCCGTCCTACATAAGTCTATTTACTTGACCTTTTTTTTACTGGCCTGGGTAACCCTCTCAGTGAACATCAGTTTATATATCCTTGCCATCCTGGCTCATAATTACACCACCACAAGGGGGTCTGGGAAGGGGATTGCAGTTGCTCCCCAACTTAGGATACTGCAACGTAGATTTTTCCACTTTATGATGGTGTGAAAGTCATACCCGTTCAATAGAAACTGTGCACTGAATACTCAGACAGAGTTTAAAAGGGGAGTTTCCCTGCACAAGCTCTCTTCTTTGGTCTGCTGCCATGTGAGACGTGCCTTTCACCTTCTGCCATGATTGGGAGGCCTCCCCAGCCACGTGGCACTGTGAGTGCATTAAACCTCTTTCTCTTGTAAATTGCCCAGTCTTGAGTATGCCTTTATCAGCAGAGTGAAAATGGATGAATACATCATCTTTAAAGAAGTGCGTATTTCAGCTTTGCATGCACTTAAAGACGGCTGTGTGCCAACAGCCAGGACATGAGCTACAAGAACAAGTTGTTGGGTGGGGCTTCAAGGAAACGTGCCTTAAAAAGAGCACAGCTGAGCCATTTTCAGGTACCTCTGCCCATCTGCCCTTTCTTTTTGGCCCAATTGCAATGCTGATGTGACACTAGAGATGTAGCAGCCTTTTTGTGACCATGAGGCAGGGAGCCCATGCTGAGGATAACTGAGTGGAATAACAGGAGGCACTGGGTCCCCCTTGGCATCTCAAAGCATCATGCCAGCCTGCACAGCCAAACACCAAACTCCTTTCCTTCTTCAGCCCAGCATCTAGCGACACCTTCCCGTCTCAGAAGGAAGCTAGGAGATGTTGGATGCACATAGATTTATATTAATATATGCCAAACACTGAAATTGGAATACAAACTCTTCCCAAACACTGGACTATTAAAGACAAAATTGATTCTCAGCAAAATAAGCAAGGGCTGTTAATTCGTGGGCCTGCGGTGGTTAAGTCCACTGTCTGTCAGTTTCCTCTCAGCAAGGACGCCAGGGTTCTAGGAAGGAGAGTCCATTTTATAGAATAAAAGAGGAAATCCTGAGACAGCGTCTGATTGGCAAGCGTCCTATAAAAATGGGAATTCTGAAAGTGGGGAGAGACTTAGTCTTCATGTACATTTGACGGCCCTGGATTGGCTGGAAGTGAGCAAGGTAGGAATTGGGGGATATTTCAAAGGAGGAAGATTGTTCCTTCTCCCTGTGTCTCCTCCCTGTCCTTCCCCTGGACCACACACTGTGGTCCTTCATGACTTTCTGGGGTCAGGCTCTCTCACACTCAAATCGTATTTGAGAAACTGGAATATAAGCTCTTTCAAATCAGGCAGGCAGTCGAGAAGGAAGAATATGCTTTTGCATCAGGCATGAAAAGGTGAAAATCCTCACTCACTAACTCAGCTGCCTGGGCAAGTGGCTACACCAGTTCAAGCCTTTCTTTTTCTTTTCTTTTTTTCTTTTGAGACGGAGTCCCGCTCTGTCATCGCCCAGGCTGGAGTGCAGTGGCATGATCTTGGCTCACTGCAACCTCCGCCTCCCTGCAACCTCTGCCTCCCAGGTTCAAGCAATTCTTCTGCCTCGGCCTCCTGAGTAGCTAGGATTACAGGCGTGTGCCACCACGCCTCGCTAATTTTTGTGTTTTTAGTAGAGATAGGGTTTTACCATGTTGGCCAGACTGGTCTTGAACTCCTAACCTCATGATCCACTTGCCTCAGCCTCCCAACATGCTGAGATTACAGGCGTGAGCCACTGTGCCCAGCTGAGCCTCTCTTAATGAATGAAGTAGAGTGACAACTCACCTCCCCCGCAGGGGCTGCTGTAGAGGCTTATTAAAATCCCTACAAGAGTGCCTCAAAGCACCAAGCTCCCTGTCTCCATAGAGAAAAGGGTCTGTGTTGCAGGCACACGTCTCTGAGAGAGAGAGAGAGAGAGAGAGAGAGAGAGAGAGAGAGAGAGAGAGAGCGCAGAGGGTGAAGGAGGCTCTGCAAAGGTTTTATCAAAGATTCAGATCATAGATAGTAGGCATTTTATGACAAGAAGCAAAATTGAGGATGCTATGTAAGTATTTACACAACCATTTAAAATGAAATCATTTAAAAATATAATGATTATTCTTAGCTTGAAGGCCATATAAAAGCAAACAGCAGGGGTTTGGCCCAAGAGTTCTAGCTTGCCAGACCCCTGGTCTATAGTCTGTGTGGGGAGAAAACTGCACAGGCTCTCAAGGTTGACTACCTGAATTTCAGTCCTTTTTCTGCCACTTGGCGTCTGGGTGACCTTGAGCAAGGCGGTTCATTCTTTATGCCTCCGTTTTCCTATCTGTGGAATGGGCCAATAGTACCAACTATCCTACCTCCTAAGGCTGGTTTGAGCATTAGCTATATAAGATGATTAAAACAGAACCCAATATGCAGAAAAGGTTCAATAAACGCTAACTAGGATGGTTCCCTCACCACGTCCAGCACACAGACCAGGGCAACTTCATCTTTTGCTGGGCTCTGGGGTCCTTGGGGAAAGCGGATGGATATT